GTGGGAGGCGTCGGCTTTGTCGTCCACCCATCTATCGTCCATCTTGTCGATTCGCACGAGATCCTATCACCTCGACTAGGCATCCTACGACTACGACCTTCACATCAGAAGACCATCAGCATCATCAACTGCTATTCTCCAACATCAGCAGCTGACGTATCAGAACTAGATGCTTTCTACGAAGATGTGGAGGAGGTCGTCCGCAACGAGAAGTCCTTTTACAAGTTTGTTGTGGGCGACTTCAACGCGAAAATCGGGATGCCACTGGAAAGGGAATATAGGATCGGGAAGTTTGGATATGGGCTCCGGAACGAAAACGGCAACCGTCTTGTTGGGCTTCTCTCCGCCGCACGACTTTTCCATGGAAATTCCATCTTTATGAAGAAGGAACATCGCCGGTGGACATGGGAATCGCCCAACGGAACGACCCACGCGGAGATCGACCACATTCTCACCAACCGAAGGTGGAGCTTACTCGATGTCTCTGTAGTTCCATCCTTCTGTAGTGGCTCCGATCACCGCCTCCTTCGAGCGAAGATACGACTCAGCCGAAGGCTGGAAAAGAAAGTCTGTCATAGTGCCGCGAGAAGGAAGGAAGTCGTTTATGACGGTAACAGGCTGGAAGAGCTCATATCAAGTTGTGACTGGCCCATCGAGGAGGACCCAACGTACGACTACGACCGGCTTCTGAAAGGATTGCGAGCCTGCGGAGAATGCGCCTCAGTGACTTCTGAGAAGAACTTGGACCGCATCTCGAAGACCACCAAGGAATTGCTCGAAAGAAGAAGATCATTGAGGCAGGATCCGAATGCAACTCATCTCGAGCGACTGATTGCCAACACCAGTTGCAGAACAGCTTTGCAAGAGGATCTCAGGAAGTACAGGCAAGCCAAGATACTGGAAGCAGCAGAAAGAAGACGAAGTCTCAAGAAGTGCCGAAGGGACCTCTGCGAATATCACGTACCGCTGGCTGCACTACTGAACGAAGACGGGACTCCGACTTCTTCCCGATACAAGATGGAATCTATCGCGAAGAACTTCTACACCAACCTCTTCCGCTCATCAACACCCGTGCAGATGCCCGTTGTTCCCACTGGAGAAGTACCACCACGAATTCTACCTGCTGAAGTGCGTATCGCGATACAGACCATGAAGACGTCCACGGCTCCAGGACCAGATCATCTTTCCGTCGAACTTCTGCGAGCCGGAGGACACCGTCTACACGAGATTCTAGCGTCGCATTTGACATCTTACCTTCAGAAGGAGAAGATTCCCGACCAGTGGAGAACGTCAAGAACCGTCCTTCTCTTCAAGAAGGGTGAACGGGAGGATCTTCGGAACTATCGTCCAATATGCTTGCTGAGTGTGCTGTACAAGCTTTTCACGAAGATTATCCTCGCTCGCATATCAAGGACACTGGATGAAGCCCAACCCCAAGAACAAGCTGGATTTCGCAAAGGATTCAGCTGCATGGACCACATCCAGACCGTTTCGAGGGTCATAGAAGTCTGCCGGGAGTACCGACTGCCTCTCGTCCTAACCTTTGTCGACTACGAGAAAGCCTTCGACAGCGTCGAAACTAACGCCATCCTGTCTGCGCTAGTCGATCAAGGAGTGGACCCAGCTTACGTGAGGACGTTAGCCGACTGCTACAAGGACTGTACAACGACGATGCAGCTATTCCATCGCCCCCTGACTATACCAATCGGGAAGGGGGTCCGACAAGGCGACACAATCTCGCCGAAGCTGTTCACCGCGGCCTTGCAGTGGGTGATGAAGTCACTGGACTGGGACGAGAGAGGCATACGAGTTGATGGGAGATTCCTGTCCAACCTTCGTTTTGCGGACGACATCGTTCTGTTCTCGAGCAGTATCACCGAAGCAGAGACGATGCTGAAGGAACTAAACGAAGTAGGGAAGAAGATCGGACTGCGAATAAATCGGAAGAAGACTCAGTTCATGAAGAACGCCCTTTGCGAAGATGCAGAAATGGAATTGGAAGGCACCCCGATTATGGAGACGTCTTCCTACGTGTATCTCGGACGTTCGATGAACATGGAGAACGACTTGAGGGAAGAACTTAACAGGAGAAGAAGAGCAGCCTGGGCCGCCTTCGGGCCCCTGAAGGAAGCCACCGACCAACTGACGGACCCGGAGCTTCGTGCCCACCTGTTCGACTCAACCGTTCTCCCGGCGCTCTGTTACGCAGCTGAGACTTGGGCCGACACTGTAGCCACGTCGAAAGCTTTACGGACCACCCACAGAGCGCTCGAGCGCAGTCTTCTGAAGATGACCCGACGCAAGCAACATCTAGTCGGACTTCGCAGCACGGATATGAGAAGAATGTCCCGTCTTCGTGACCCAGCGGAATACGTCGCGAAAGCCAAACACCGATGGGCCGGTCACATAATGAGAAGAACAGACGACAGATGGACACTAAGAACATCGGAGTGGATTCCTCGCGAAGCCAAACGTCCCCGAGGAAGACCTCCAACGAGATGGGCAGACGTGTTCGTGGAACGGATGGACCAGCTGAGAAATCAGCTGGATACGATTTCTGCACCTGGAACTCGTGGACGCAGCCACCGACGTCAGCCAAGAAGATCGTGGATGTCAGAAGCGAGGGACAGGGAAAAATGGAAACTTCTGAGCTGGGGCCCGCACGTCACGTGAAGCCGGGCCATCTAAGTATCTAAGTAAGTAAGTATATTTCAAGAGTCGCAAGATATGGTTACTCAAAATTACGAACTTTTTGAGAGATAAATTGTCTAAATCATTTACTGCCAAGGATGGAAGAACTAGTAGCATTATTATCAAGGATGAAAAAACCAGCGGCAAAACAGCTTGAAAACTGCTATCATTGCTTTTTCGATCAGTCTCGATCGTTGATATTTCTACTATCTCAGTATAAGACGTTAATGTTGAGAAAGTCATCATCTCCTTCTAGTTATGTCGAACTGACCGTTTAGTAAATAACTATATATACTTGATTTGGATGTTGTTCCAACAAGAAAAAAAGACATTACACTAAAGGGTCAGAATTCTTGTTGGAACAACATTGTCATAATTCAAGCACATATATTCATTTGCTAAACATCGTTAGTTCGACATCACTAAGACACATTTACTAGAAGACGCAAACAGTATTTATACCGTTGGACATAAAGAAAGCTAAGGACTCCACAGGGTTACACAAATTCGGAACATACTGAAACAATAAAAAATCAAAGAAATAAGAAATTGGATTAAAAAAAGCAACTCGCACTTTACTCATTCATAATATCACGGAGCAAAACTTCTCCAATGTATCTGCTAAGGAGATGCAGTGGAAGGGGATCGAGAGAAGAGTCAAGCACCTGAAGAAGTTATTTAAATGACAATGAGTTTGAATTCGAACTGAAACTGCCTTCTCTTTTTCCCAAGTTTTTGCAACGAAATGGATAGCCTTCTTAAAAAAAAAGTTTGAGTCTTGCAAGTTCAGCCAAGAGTGCAAAAGAGCAGCAAATATCTAAACAGAATCATGTAGAAAATACGTCGAGTTCAATGCTCAACAGATAATACTACCTTCTCAACTTCCTCGCCAACTGTGAGATGACATCCTCGCCTTATCTGGTCAGATACTTTGTCAGGATAGCCAGAAATACTGCTTTGTCATCGGCACTAAATTCACCATACTAAAAGGGCTTCAAAAAACTCCTGAAACCATGCACTCACCTGACCGTGTGCCTTTTAAACAGCATTATTCAAGTTCTACTGATTCTGATACTACCAGCGTTTGTTGAGATGGCACAAACTATCTAAAATTCTTTAAATAGTACAGCAAACCATACACTTTGTATAAATCTGACCGATAGTGCGGAAGAATGGAAAAAGTAGTCAAAATTGTAAGAGATGAAGCTGAAACGAAACTAAAAATTCAAAGGGAGAGGACGCAGAAATTTGACGATAAGGCGCGATATCTAACAACGCAAGTTCCGAAAGAAGAAAGGGCAAAAAACAGTGTACAGGGGGTGATATGGAAATGTTTCTATGAACAGGGATAGATTTTTGACCGGAGCATCTGTCCATGCTAAAAAGATCCAAAACTTATGTGAAGTGACAAAAATATATGCTCCAGACGATCTCAGATCGTCTGGTGGCCGTCTGGAGACGATCTAAATTTGGAAAAGGTACTACTTCACATAAGTTTCTAAATCTTTTTACATAATTCTTCCGGAAATAATTTTCTATAGATACAGTTCAATTTTGGTGTCATATGACTCCGTGTCCGCTGTAAACAAGCGATTTGTTTATTTTAGCCTTGCCTTCAAATCGCGCGCACTTTTTGCCATACACGATAGAGCATGTCAATCGTGTGATAACCTGTCCGAAAAGCTTGTGTTTGACCAAATGGCGCTTATACTTGGTGTTTGGCCCCGATTCGTCAAAAACGATATCCCCTTTGCTTTTTGCTCCAAAAACGAAGTCCAGCCTGCCCATTCCCTTGTGAGAAACAATCTAAAAAGTTCCTGCATACAAAACCTAAATAATTATATTTTAATCTACACAAACTGCGGGAACCTTCGAGCTACTTTTTATCGGAGAAAATGTTATGCACGATAAACGTGTAAAAAAGCGCCAAAAAATTAGCTTCTGATTCCTTGTTAATCATTTCCATTGCCTGCAGTATCAAAAAACATGCCATTTCATCCAAGATCAATGTCTGCTTCACTGATGCATAACTGTTATATAAGTTTTTGAGGGCTTTTTAGGTATTGGGCGGTGATTATTTTTATTATTAGGCGATTTTTTACGACTAAATTCAAAAGCACATAACTTGAAATTGTCCTTAGAAGGTTCTTTCTTCATAGTCAATAAGAAGTTGCTTTCAGGTAACTGTTGTAAAGCTAGTTCTTCTTCAAATTCTTGTATAAAGGAACTGTAAATCTGAGTTAAAGATTTGAAAATGTTGTTCTTCAAAATGACGCAAAATTTCACATTGACCAGTACGAATCAGATGTGCACTGCTTTATTCTGCGAAGATTTCAAAAGCAAAAAAATCTTGCTTAATAAGGTCACAAACTCCGTTAATTATCGTTTTTAAAACATATTCTTCACCGATGTTTGCGAATTAGGTCTAAATTGGCTTCTTCGTCACAATTACTAGGTTCCTGCTGATCTATTTTGGCAATTAAGCGAAAATCTCAAATATTAGGGTTTGAATTTCGCTTATTTTGTTATTTGCTTATTTACAGCTTCACAATGATTCCAACATTCAATCCAAAAACATCATGCATTGCAAATCTGAGAATTACAGAGCTCGATAAAAAAAAGCCCGTTGATTAAGACAGACAGTGAGCCTACAATCATTCCGGACGTGGTCGCATCAAGAGATAAGTTAGTATTGGGAAACTGTTATCTTGAGTACTAATTAGTAGCTAACTCAGGGTTTTTTGAGAAAAAAAAACTCAGGGGGTGGGCTCATATGTGGTGGTCGTGGACATCTCTTGCTCGGCCGTGGTCATCGGTAAAGTTTGGTTAGTCTCCAACACTGCTTGCCATTCCCGAGGGGGAGGCGGAGCAAACATCAAATCCGGATCAAAATCCGGATCATTCGGCTCCAGACATCCATAGCGCTGGTACGACAACCCATCAGGACAATAACAGCGTAGACTGAGGTGTTGTTAGAATCGTAGTACGATAATGTGAAATCTGTAAAAGTAGGTCCAAAATAAGGAAGAAGAATCACTTAAATTCAACTTACTGCAATTCTCTGACACCACGATTGTATCCTCTGAGGCTTCAATCTCAACTGTAGATGAATTCGCAACTTCCACTATTTCCGTGTCTTTAAGAATTTTAGAATTTCACTTCAAACTTCGAACCTCAACATGCCAACTTATCACGCTTAATGCGCCATGGACACTGCCAATGTGTCAAATGTTCAAAAAAGAGAACTTTGAAAATTTGGTTTACTTTAGTTTAGTTTAGACAAGCTCCACGCCAGCTTGCAACAAGCTTATAGCTCACTATCAGAAGTTTCACTTGACTAGGGAACATGGCCATGAACCATTGCTAGAGCTGTACTGCAGAGAACTCGTCCATCTTTCGATAGGCGGGGCTAACGGTGCGCACCTCATTGACACAAGCCTGCCTAAGCGCGCGCTATCGTTCATAAAGTTCGCCACCCCATAAAAAACCTTTCAACCTAACTAGTCACGGTCAGCATTGCCAATAACTGTGCATTTTTCAACTTCTTCAATGATTCGTTCTTCAAAGCTCTATCCCCAATGAGCACCCCTTCTTTAGTCGCAATTCAATGATAAGCTGGTCCTATTAGATTGTTTTTCCAGCAGACTTAGGGTATCATTTGATGGAGTGAAGGAAACTCTGCCTACCACCAAAGATCCGCCTAATTCGTAATCCACGTAAAGTTTGGAGCCGAAATCGTAAAAAATTTCATGACCTGAAAACTGGATTTTCGCGAGAAAAATCTTTAGGGACCTCAAACTTGGTCATTATACAGTAGACAAAGAGTAGTACAGAACACGCTCTTATTGGACTTTTTCCTCTCTTTGAAAACGAGAAAAAAAGATAGTCCAAAAGGTAAACTCAGCCCCTAGCCCCTCCCACATATGCCATTGTGTACAAACCTTGGTAAGCACAACCTTCGAATTTTACCTCTGTTTGTGTTTTCTCCATAAACACCGTCAACATAAAAGGTAGAGAAAAATGACATTTTGCGTTTGCGGGTTATGGTAATTTCTGTCTTGAACCCCGAGTACTACTATGCGTCTATTGAGAACCCCGGGTACTACTATGCGTTTATTGAATAACGAGCAGACTGGAAGTTCTAGAATTATTTAGAAGGAGATTCGATTTCTCAAGGTAGGTACCTGAAATTTTGACTTTTTGCTCCAAATTTTACCGGATTATGAATTAGGCGGATGTGAACGTATTGTCATTCTTGATTAGGCTAGGCATCTGCTTACTGAGTTTGAAAGGGTAGGCTACCAGGGATAATGGGCCGCTAGTATTGTTTGCTTAGTGTTTTGTTGTCGTGTTGTAAAATGTTAACCTTTTTCCATTCATTAGTAGCTATGTAGATCTTTATTTGGTAGATTCATGTATAAGCTCCTGCAAGACGAAGGCGGTTGGTCGAGGTGCGACGTGGCTGTGACGCGGCTGTGACGCTGCTGTGACGCAGCCATGTCGCAGCCGCGTTGCACATCGAACCGACCGCCTTCGTCTTGCAGGAGCTTATTATGTTGCCTCGGTGATCAGCGAGTGCGCGAAGTGCGCGCCAAAATCTATTGATCTCGATATGGCTCCGCCCGATTTCTCAATCATTTCCTCACTCCTTACCTCCAGCCTTATCGCGTGCTGCCTTTGCTCATAGCCTCTTCGTTGTTTTTTTTTTTGTAGTTTCTTGCCGCATATTTGTCGTTGCGTTCATTTTTCTTTTGTAAGTGTTGAGTGTTGTGGCCTTTTTTTTGATAAAAGGCTTGTTGCATACTGTGGTCTAGTACTGTGGTCTAGTTAGTCAGAACTGCGGTGAAGAGCCGCGTCGAGTATCTAGACGAAAACAAATTTGTTTTGCTTTTGCACTTTTTCCGCCAGAATCTTTGTTAGCCATCCTGTAGAGCTTGCTTCACTCTATGAAATGATACCCTAGGTCTACTAGAAAGGCGAAAACAGCTTGATTAATCTGAGACAACCCAATAGATCACTCATTGTTCGCTGCCTACTTGATCTCAATGTGTATACCAAAAATGAGGGAGAAGTGTAGTTCATACAAAAAAAATCTTCGCAAAGATATATGCAGCTTCCTTCCTGTTGAAACAATTCAAAAAAATTCTTACTTTTTAAACGGTGCACTCGTGTTAAAGAACACTTAGAACATGACCGAGTGGGCTGGGGAAATATGACGTTGGTGTAAAATTTAAGTCACAAAACTCAGCTGAAAAGACATTTCCGATCTTGCAAAGGCGAAGTATGCCTGCAGGCAATTATTGCGAGCATCCGCGGCCCCTAGCACTGAGTATTGTGGGTGAAGATCTTAAATTATTTAATTGATGATCTGCGAGCCCGGATCTTCAATCGCGCCTGTACCAGTAGCATGAAACTCGGACGTTACGGAATTTACGAACTTTGAAGGCGGTTTTGGCAGACTCCCAATCTTGGACTTTTTCCGTGCAGAAAGTGATCTAGATGTTTGCAAATGTGTCTGCTGAGGAAAATCACGATTAAACAGATGAGCGGAAAGTTCATAGCTGAACTCAACCAACTCGGCAAAGTCGACCATCCAGCGTGTGGTTTGGCAAAAGTATTGGTTTCTGTCTATTTACCCAAGCTGGAAGAAGAGGACGCGACTCCTGCGTCTCGGCTCCGCAATGCAGAGCTCTCCTCGGAACAGGTGCCGGGGGCGCTGAATGCCGCTTTGCCTGTAGCGCCTTTTGTAGCGCAGCCAAGTGGCGAGTATATAAGGCTGCACGTCAGAGCAGGCCTGGCCTCTTCCATTCGCTTTCATTTTATCTTGTATTATACTTGGCTGCGTTTTGGGCAGCTCGCGCATTGAGGATTTCTTGTTGAGCGGTTGAGCCTTTTGGATGTTGTGGATTGGATGCGCATGAGCGCGAGGAAACCTGAAAGTTGTAGATGAACACTGTTGCGGAAGTGAAGCTGGTGAGTGCGCCGTTCCATGGAACTGGTGTCCAGCGGCCGAGTCTTTGGAGGAACCCAGAACCTCTTGATTGGATTAAGCTTGGTGTACATCGGCAGCACAGGACGCGCGGCCAGTCCTGTGTTATTATTTGGTCATCCTCTTTAGAGACCCCGTAGCTCTCTTTGTATATATGTTTTATTTTGTTGTTTTATGTATATAAACTTAATCTAATTGTACTCGTGTATATGGGTTCGTGAGTTGGGTGCCGCGTCGAGTGGACGCGCCGTGAGGATCCAGCGGTGTCGGACGCGTGACGTCCTAGGGTGTGAGATTGTGGTGTATGGCGGTCGAGCACACGGTAGGGGTGGGCCCACTGAGCCGCAACATCCTGTGCATTTCTTCAAATTCATGACGTACGATTTAGCTGTGATGCTTTCGCTAGGTTTGAGGAGGCTGTTACGCAGCTACAACCCTTTTATCAGCTCTCTGCAGTTCGTTACAGCGTCAATGCGGTCAAAAGCCTTTAATTTCCACACTTTCATTATACAAAAAAGCTTTTGAAAGCTCATACCTCAAGTTTTCGAATGCTCTACACCCTTTGATTCAATGAACTTGGCGGCTGGAAGGCGGGGCTTCGAAGCTCAAACAAGGCTAGAGAACGTTCAGAGGGCACACACGCGAAAGAGAAGCAGACTGCGTCGCGGGTCGCCTTTCAGCCGCCAATCCCTTTAAATCTAAGGGTAGCTTCCCAAAAACTAACCTTTGGTTGTGATTCGGAACAGAGATGGAACGGAAAACAATATTATTTTTGCATCAATCTGATAATTCAAAGCACGCCGAACGTTCAGCAAAACCAACTTGTATTCAAAGAATGCTGCCGTCAGCAGGCAGACTCATTTTGAGGCAAAGTCTATCTAAACTGACTAATGTTTATAAATCAATTTTCTCTATCACTGTGTTCATAATCCTACACTATTACCAATCTAAGTAGACTTGTTTGGAGAAGGCAAGTGATGTCTACGCAATAGAGTTAGCCAAACTTGAACTGATGTGAGTCATAAGTGCACCTATTCAATCATCAAGGATATGGCTTGGCCATTGAATTCAACCTCATGAAGTGTAAACCGCGCAACACCCCGCTTTGTGGATGCGTAGATTACTCAAACATGTCTGTGTAATGACACAGACTTTATGTGTTTTAGAAAGATCATAAGCTGCTTTGAAACAGTGATATTCAAAGTATGTGGAATAATTCTAGAAACTCGGTAATAACTCGCTGAAAATTTAATCGCGCCTTTTACACGTTTTTGTGTTATAGCCTTTGAAAAAAGTCCAAAACTTTTTTCCGTGAAACAAGCGTAATTGTAGTCACTCCCTCCGAAAATCTATTTGGAAAGTTCTTCCAATTTTTCGGAAGTCTTTATTCGTACTCTACATTTTCTAAAACCTTGACGTGTTTTCAGTAAGGTGATTTCAGATTTTTTAGGCAAGAAAGCGAACGCAGTGAGAAGTCGGCAGAAAGACTTACTAATCAGAGTGACCCAAAAGTAACGGGGCACTTTAGTTTTTTGAACATTTTTGAGGTCTCTTTTTGAATAGCTATGAACAAGCTGCAATTTGAACACTTTCGTATATAGTGACCTTCGCAGGATGGCTGACAGCACCTTGCAGCACCTTACCCACAATCCTTCGAGCGGGGCTCCGAAGAAGCAGTTAGACTTTTTTGAACGCCATCCGATTGTCTGCTGCTCCAAACATATGACATATCAGTCGAGAGAGCCTCTCAAGCTCTTTTTGATGATACGTTTACAAAAATTTTCCATTATTTCGTATAAAACAGGCGCTTTAAAAGTGCGAGTTTGGCGCAGGCTTTCAGGCCAAAGATCATGTTTTGGCTCCAACTTTTTGAAAATAAAAATATAGAGCTAAATTGCATATGTATGGATAGAGCGTAAAAAGCTCTGTCAGATAACAACTGTCAAGGGTGAGCTCATTCATTTGATGAGCAAACAAATATATGTCTCCTAATACGCAGTGCTATATCTTTTGTTCTCAAGCGTTGGGACCATCAGGCTATCACGAACATGGTGGCACTTCTCTCACCCATTGCTGCGCGGTTATCTTTGGTCTCACTTGTTTTACTGCGGCGGTGCTGCTCAAAGTTTAAAATTGCTTGACGTGGTAAGCTTTGATATCAAGCGCTCATAAAAACAACGCCATGTGATAGTGCCCATCTATGGACCGCGATCAGAAGATTTTGTTTTGTACTGAATTCTGCCAAATTTGAACTTCCAATTAGGTTTTTTGCTTGAGAAAAATGCATTTATCCTCTAGGTGCCTTATTACTTTTGGATCACCCTAATAATTTTACCTCGGTACTCCTCAACCGGCGGAGAACTTTCTTCGGAATCCTTCTGGGGATAGTCAATGAGTTTCTGAGTGACTGCACTTGCTAGTAAAGCCTCTGAAAAAGTGAAAGTATATATTTATGAAACAGCATCAGCTCCTTACGCCGATTTATGAACTTTTTCGAGTCAAAAAAGTTAATGCGCAGTGAGAAAAAAGGTCTGGAGATTGCCCAATCCAGTGTAAATATAAGGTAGTTTAAACCATGGATATATTTCTTGTATATGCACATACTCAATATTCTCTTTTTGCGCCAAATGGGCCTTAATAGTTGATTCCACCTGGGTTCCATGTTGCACGTTGGGTACTAATATTACTAATGTCTCGGTGTTCAAAAACGCTCTACAGGATAAAAACAAATTCATAATCGACGCTTAGAGCTTCTCAAAAATCTATGATTCCATTTCGAGAAACCACATTAACTAATGACACTTTTATGCAATTCATAACTAGGAAAGTCTTACGCAAAGAAAGCAGCAAGGAGACAGAGCCGTGCCGGAATACATACATGATAGACTAAGCACTATGAATGCGCAGCAAGTATGTGCGATTCCAGTAACCGTTGTAAAGTGAAGGGTAATGGATCTGAAGAGTCATTAACATACAGGCTGTTCAAATAATACCTCATCGTTCAGTCTAAAACTCCCTTTCATCTTGTTTCTGGTTTTCAAGGGTAGATGAAGAAAACCTAAGTGTACACTGTGTGGCAATTGCACATGGTATACCTAAGGGTACTTGGTGATGGCCTTTTCGGTATCTGACATTTATGTTATGACATTCGCCTTCTAACGTTGATCTCAAAACTGCGTTTGGTATCTGCGGAACGATTTTCTCCAGAAGAAACGTATCTCATAGCATCTGACATGTTTGCATAAGAGTAGGGGTAATGTCGAGAATGCTAAAAGGGCAGGGCATACTTCGCGCAATTTCAGTCGCGACGCGATTTGGCAATATTCCAACTTCCATAACTCACTGTAAGCAAATTTTGAATGTACAGAGGATAGAGCATTTTATCAATCCATAAATGTTAAACACGCTATGCATGTGCAGTTTGCTAGGTTGGATCTGAAGACTTCTGGCAAATTGCCAAATCGCGTTGCCACTGGATTCGAATGAAGTATGCCCGGCCCTAAAAATATCGATTGGTCTAGTAGTACTGTCGATTTTTGCACAATCAATGCCGGTTTGATTCCTGTGAGTGCAGAACTTTCTGCATTTGCTTTCACAAGCATTACTTCTTCTCAGAAAAGTGTTCCGCAGATAATGAACAAAGTTTTAATATCAGCGATTCAAAGCGAGCATTCTGATGTACAATATATTTCAAAAGGCCACGGTCTCCAGTTATCCTTCTGTGGCAGTGCCATACTTTCTTTTCCACCCTTCAACTATTCGTACTTTCGCTCGAATGAGATCGGAGCCACTGCAGAAGGATGGAACTACTGAGAATCTCCACCTTCGGTTGGCGAGAATGTGTGAAATCCCGTGCGAATCGTTCCGTTAGGTAATTTCCATGTCCACCGGCGTTGGTCTTTTTTCATGAGGACAACCTCTGGAAAAGTTGTGCGGCGGAGAGAAACCCCAACAAGAAGACTGTCGTTTTTATTCCGAATTTCATATCTAAAATTTCCAACCCTATATTAATCTTCCAGTGGCATCACGAATCTCGCGTATTAGGTGAATTACGTTTCAGGAAAGCATGCAGATTGTGCGTGGACGACGTTGCTTGTATGCCTTTCTAGTGCACGCTACGAATTTTTTACAGATTTTCTTTTACATTATTTGCACAGGTAAGGAAAAGGCTATTTTCGTGGCTTGGCAGTACACTCTCTCACATAGAGCCATATGCTCTGGTAACCTTCACTTTGAGCGTCATAAGAAGAACACCACCTTCACCTGAGAAAAAAGAAGTCATCTCAGTTGTTTTGATCATAACTTATCAGAATGAATGCGGAGTATGCAAGTTTGGAGAATGATAAACATCCAATTGCGTTTCTGAGCTTTTTTGCCCTAGAAGATTTTTAGGTGCAAATCTCCATAGAATTCATGACAACAATTCTTAGTTAACTTCTTTTCAGTTTGGCATTGAGTTTCACAAGTTTACGAAAGCTGCTGGAGTTGAACAAAAACAAGAAACTGCGTTTGAATCTTGCGCAAAGTGACGCGCATGAAAATGCTGTTTTATCCCGTTCTTAAGTGATTTTCAACTCTTTCGACGTTGCCAGTGTTTCTAGCCGTGTCATGGCGATCAGAATGATGTGTAATGTTGCCAACAAGGGAAGTCCGATTTTTCGAGGTGACCGTTCCAAATGAGTCTTATACCACTATGAAGAGCATAAGACGGTGATTCCAAATCTGATTTCATTATCTGCCGTGCGTTTCTGCACGCCGGGTTATGAATAACTAGAAATGAAAGCATAATCCAGGTAAAACCGAATTTCACCCTCTTTTCAGCGTTCAACTAGAGCAGCGTTAAGTATGGTGTTTTGGACAAAAAGTACGAGGTTAAAGCAAAGCGAGTGTCGTAAAATCTGCTAAACATGCATATGAATAACCTCTGTTATGCTAACCATGTCATGAAACGTTAGAACATGTCATTCATGGTAGTACATGAATGGCATGATCTAACCTGTTCTTTCTTATCAACGCGCCAAATTTAAAATGATACTAAGAAAACAAATGGCTTGTTTACAAGGCACAAGCAATCACAAGGCACCGAATTTGGGCTACGTGTGTTCAGTTTTACTCCAACTACATTATGTAAAAAGTTTCATAACTTATGTTTCCTAACGCCCATTTCCGAATTGTTAATATCGACCATTACCAAATCAACTGGCTTGGTTCGGAGCATAAATAATGGAAAGTTTACGTAAGTTTGGGGCCTGATTTGGACGATTAGAACGCACAAAAATTTATCATATAGTGAAGAGAACTAATCAAAAAAGCGCCTCTCCTTTTTTATTGAGCACTAGCTGGCATACCCGGCTCCGCCGTATGTTCCGGATAGAAAATTCCATTTCTTAATCGATCCGAACCAAACTTGGCACACATACACTTCGGGCCCCGGCGGGTGTCATAGGCTACTTTTCGTATCGATTGATGTCGATTTTATCGATTTTTGCAAAATTTGAGCTAGGGGGCTGGGAGTTGGCACAGGGGGGTAAGTGAGCATGGAGATCCCGCCCACGGGGGTGATCAGCATGCTCGATTACCCCCTGTGCCAAATCCCAGCCCCGTAACTCAAATTTTGCAAAAAATCGATAAAATCGATATCGATCGATACGAAAAGTAGCCTATGACACCCGCCGGGGCCCGAAGTGTATGTGTGCCAAGTTTGGTCCGGATCGGTTCAGAAATGGAATTTTTTATTCGGAACATACGTACACACAGACAGACATACAGACAGACAGACAGATAGACATACATACAAACGGACATTCAGCTTTATATTAGGTTGGTGCAAAAATAATGAGCGTTTTCTTAATACTTTTTTCAGGACAACTTTTCTCCATCAAACGTCTTTCTTTTTAACGGTTTCAGCACATTGTTAGAAAGCTCTTTTCATGCTCTATCTAAAGGTGTTCGATGGGGGCTTCTAGCCCACTCTGTTAAGAATTTATAGAGCTTCACATAATCGCACTCAAAATTAGATTTTCGTTGCATTCATTTTTCTGGTCAGAATTTGAGCGCGAATGAAGGTGGTTTATCGAAAATTTAGCCGCTATATGTAATGGAAATTGTCTACAATTATGCATTTTCAACCATATTTTTTCAAGTTATATAAAGTGAGATATCGGCGGCTTAACATGGGTAATGGTTGTGGTCATTTTAAAGCCCATAACTTTCTTTTGTAAAATGCAGTCGCTCAAACTCTGCTCATCTCTGTAAGCGTGAGGATAGGAGTCCCATTAGCGGTTTTTGCAAAAACATCCAGCTTTTCAGTACGCAGAAAATTAAAAAATTCTCTACTTCGGGGTTTTAAGGCCTACTGAAAAAGTGCTAAAAAAGTTGATAATTTCGAATTTCGATTTTTCCCTCTTCGCTAATCTTTTTTCTGCAAGCCCTTTTTATGTATATTTGTACTACTGGCTTGCGGCTACAAGATAGGCTGCTTATAAATCATAAGAACAAAGTGTGAAAGGAGTTATGTTCTGTCAAAAACAAGGCTTCAGAAAAAAACTCTTTTTGTTTTTCAGTCCATATGTTTCTGCCCATATAAGATATGAGTATAGTTCAATGTGTGCTGTACTGCAAAAGGTTCAGTGCATCTGATGGTCTTTATCGCATTTCAAAATGTAGATTTTGTAGAAAGTTATAGGAAATTAAAATGAAAAATATGAAAACGCTCATTATTTTTGCACCAACCTAATATATAAGATAGTATAAAAGGCACTGACAGATATGGCGCTCCAATCACATGCCTGCCGGGACGTCCTTTGATGTGACAACAAATGTTTTTTTGTTTTTGTTGTTATTGTTTTTCCAAATTGTTTGTTTTCTTACTAATGCGTCAGTAGGGATTTCGCGAAAATTTGCGAAGTCATGGGGGACATCGTTTTCGAAAATCCTCCTGACCAACGCATGCCGGACCCTGGCCCCGTCAGCTCTGGTCTTTCTCTTCTGCTCATCTGCGTCTCCGCGTGCTGCTCGCTACTTCGCTACCCCAAAGGCTAAGCGCGTGGCATTTGGCCCTGGTACCCTTTTATTCATTGAACCTAATTCCGCAACTTAATCAAATTTATGTACTGAAGGTTTTGATCTCTACTTTCTCCCTGACAAGCCGCAAAACATCCTTTTTTTCGATTCTAACGAACCAGGAAAAAATCGTGTTTTCAGAAGGACGCTGTCTTCAGAAACTATGTTCGCTTTGCGTAACGACATCTTGGGAAGAAATAGAAAATCCCTTGTTTTTTCTATTAACTCTTTTCACGCTTTCATAGATCTTGCTTCTGTCTATAATGTGTACAACGTCGAGCTTACTTCCTATGGCGGTTTTTTGTGAATAGTCGTAAAAAGTGCTTTCACTGTCTTCGCAGCGAGTCTTTCCCAACATGGGCAATGCTCACAATAATAAGCACAACGATCCAGACAACATCCCAAGAAATGGAACAATGAGGGGGTAAGAATTCAAAGAATCACATTTTGTATTACTGTCAGGATAAAGGTCTGCAGGTCCTTTACCTGATGTGTAGCGGGGTTACATGAGCCTTACTATAATGTTTATTATACAAGTTATATACAAAAGGGGAAGGGGAAAGGGGAAAGAGGGAACCGGCTCCTGCCGACGGGCGGAGGTCACTGTCCGAGGTTCGTTGTCTTAGGCCACACAGATAAAAATAGCACTCAAATCATTCTTAGTGCAGGATCGTACTTTTGAAGATTTACCGCGTTTTGCTAAAATTTCCCATCCATTGAACAAACTTGCAGCTTTTCTTTGGAGCAAGGAGTAAGAAATAGCATTCCAAGCATTAAAACATGCCCTAGTGGATGCGCTTGTTTTAGTGCTTCCTATTCTAGGAAAACCCGATATCATCCACACCGATGCATCAACCATCGGTCTCGGCGCGTGCCTCCTACA